ACAGAAGGTCCTTACGGTACCAGCTACAGAGAAAGTGGTAGCAAAAGGAAGCTGCTGTAGCCGGATACCAGCAGTCAGACATATACTTGTGGTCGAAAGATTATATACACCTTGACGAAAGTAGTTAACTAAAGTTTAAAACTGTGCCCATTGTTGGTAAGCATTCTTTTTCAGTAATTGATCAGCCAGCTCATTATGGCAAATCCTGAGGGATGAGCTGTTATTCAGTTCCCCAGTTCCTGGCTTGCCAGGAATGGATTAAGATTTCAAACTTGTTATTTTACTGTCCATACAGTGCGAATGCATTGGAACTTTCAACTATGTTTATGATTGTTAGGAATCAATAATCGTGGTTACAAAGTACCAACAAATATAACACCATAGCCCGGATATCTAAGGGAGAGGATAAGATAGCAGTTGGTACATAAGGTTTACTCAAGCAATTTGTTTACTCAGATGTATTGGGGGGGGGGAAAGTTTCGTACTTCATCATGTCCTCACAGCAAAAAAAGTAGAAACCAAATTCTCTGGAGGAAGTAAGTTATTCCACCCGTACCAGTTTGCTTGGGTTTTGTTGCAGTTCACTTTCAGTGCTAAACCTATTGATTCAAGTGTTTCAGTGTTACTAAATATGTTCCATTACTTCTTCAGAAGTGAATCGAATTCATTTCCCCTCTGAAACTACCAAGCTGCAGCACTCATGACAGAGCAGGAGTTAGACTTTCGGAGATGCAGTTCTGTGAGATGAGGGGATTTGGGTATCCGTTAGTCCTAAAGGGGCAATTTGGTTTTTAACTAAAAAAGAGTGTTTCGAAATGATGGCAGCCGGAATATTTGCAGGTTTTGGACCTTTGCTTACAAGTGGAGGTGGTTCATATGTTGCCATCCATGGTTGAGTTCCATGTCTGTCTCGTTCACAGTACGTATTGTAGACTTTGTAGGGTGGATTTGGTTAAGCCTCCTTCCCACACCGACTTAACTACCCATATATGAAAAGGTCACAAATCAGCCAAATACGGGAATGACACGCGGTTGTGTTGACTGTGCAGAGTATTCCATTTATATTTATTAGTCACATCAAAGTCATGTATACCCATCAAAATACATTGACGGTAAGCAATATTTATAACGTGTTCTTCACAAAGTACACTGTAAAAGGAAAAACAAGAGGAAAAAAACAAACAAACTTGTAAATTAGTTATCCTGAACTCGTGACTTTTGTAAATATTTTCTGCCGGAAAATGGAAGGGAACCTCCTTTTGTTGAGTCAGTGTCATTGTACCGTGCAACTGTGTCTAGATATTGCAGAAATGGCTCATGTTCATTATACTAATAGATAATAAAACGATCAATTGAAACTTACTGTGCGTGTCAAAAGGTATTTTTTGGTGCTCAAAGCAAGGTACAGAACATTTTGAAACACTTTCACCACAATTCACACAAATTACACGTCAGAGCACTGAGGATATGATATATATGGCTGTGCTGTGTTTTCAGAAGCGAATGAGGTTGTGTCCTTGAGCAGGATAGTTTGCAAGGATTGCTCTCATCACTGGAATAAATGGTAACAGAGATGCTATGAAGCCCCTCTTGGATGTCTATTCTTTTGTCGGATCTGTGTCTTGTGTTTAATTTCACCAGTCAACTTGAGAAATGCTTATACTGTAATGCATATAATGATCACTTGAATTTTCAAAATACACAAATCCACCACGTTTAGTGCTCAAGTGCAACATCAATAAATCACACCTTTTTTCCTTGAACGATTTAATGAATGACTTTCCTACAAAGGCCAGAAACATACAAGACTGGAGTTTAGCAGTGGTTCAAAAATTTATCAAGTTTGTCTCTGTCTTTTTCTCTAAATAATTGGCCATGCAGATGTATTGAACATTTTGTTTTCTTCGGTTTGTTTTTACTTCAGCCTATTTTCTGATTTGGAAACAGGTATCGCATAAATAAATGTATCATTTGTTGTCTTGTTTATATTTTGTGGTAGAACTTGATTCCATATAAACATGGTTTCGTTTATTATTTCTTTTAGTTATTTATTCATTTCTTGGTTTGTTTGGTTTTTGTCACACCAGCTGACTCACAAAGGAAGAATAAAATTCCGGAATGATCATGTACTGCAAAGAAAACGTTTCTGTGTCTTTTATCAGTGGATAAACAACCAACTTTGTCAGATCTACGGAACTTTTCTCACAATTCACCCTCAGTTGGCGTGTCTTGGGCTGTTGAGGGCGTCAACTCGATGGTCTCCACGTGCGTCCGGCAGCAGAGAACCACCTGGGCGTACTCGCGGAACTTCTTGATGAAGACGAGGAACATAAGTGGGTTCAGGACCGGGGAACACTTGGCCGCGAAGGGCGCCAAGGTGGCCAACCAGATGGGGACGTCGGAAGGGTTGCCCAGCGCCCCCCAAAGGCAGATAATAGCAAAAGGAGACCAGGTTAGGAGGAAGATGATGATGAGAGCAACGCCCAACTGTAGAAAAAAAAAATGAGTCCATCGGTTGATTATTCAGAAGAATACTGCGGTAATCTTCGTTTTTAACACTCCTCACTGGTCCATCAACTTATCACCATTTATGATTGATCAATCGTTAAATCAAGCCTGAAAGAACTGGAGACGTATCCCCCCCCCGACATTTTTCCGATATTGCTGAACTGCCTTTTTTCATGATCCGAGCTTTTAGGATTTTTAAGTTAATACCCTTTGCGGTCATTTTGACATCTTTTTGTGAAAATCAAACATACCGTTCTTGCGCAGTGCCCATTTTTTCCGAGGCAGATCAGCCAAAAATGTATAGGCCTACTTTCCAACTGTCGTACTCAATGCATGCGGATGACAAGTGTGTGGCATTGAACTTTAAATGACCGTAACAAACTCATGTCAGATTGAGTTGAAACTCGTCCGTACTGATAAGGAGTATCTTTACATACATGCTAAGTTTTAAAAAAAAATCTGGCTTGGGACAGCAGAATCCGCCCCTACCACCGCCCCTGCCCCCGGCCCCCGGCCGTGAAAATTACCCAGCTCTTGTAGGGTCAAGCAAATCTAAGAAAGCCAATGTATTAGTAATCGATCAAACAGGCACTTAACGCCGACGTCAAACTTTGCAGCCAGACGATTGGGTGAATAGAATTACGTCACAACAGTGTACCTGTGTGACCTGCTTCTGACTGGCCCAGTCTGCGTTGACAGGGCTAAGATCGCTGAGATTGGTTGCGTCGTGTACTTGCTGTCGCTTGACGATCACTGCGTGTGTACGGCCGAAACACAGCACCATCGTGACAACCGGGAGCACGAAGCAAAACTAGAAATTGGGAGAAACATTTTGAATTTAGATAAAGTGTTAACAACCTCACGCAGCTAGCTGCATTTTGAGGTAAACGTTGTTGCTAACCAGATGTGAACTTTCCATGACTTTGTCCTCCCACACAAATTTGTAGGCACCAATTCGACAGTGAATTGACCTACGTGGCCTGACCCTACCAGCAATCGTTTAATTCTTGGATGATTCCAGTCTGATTCATGTTGCTCATAGACCACGTCACACCGGTTTTAAATTTTAAAAGAGATGTGTTTTGAGGTGGTAACTGACCGTGAAAAGGATGAAGAGATAGGAGATGTAGGAGGCGTCACCCCTTCTCCAATCCACGGAGCAGCCGCTCGTGCCAATCTCGTCGTAATTAGCCCAGCCAAAGACGGGCATGATAGCCCAGAAGAGAGCATTGACACAGGCTGCCACAGACATGTAGATGTAGTGCGTCTTAGTCAGTGACGAGGCTGAAAAAAGGGGAGGAAGGGGCGCTGCTTAATGTGCCTGTAGGCCTATCAACAGACTTGCAATCGTGAGTGCACCCAGACGAGTCCAGTATGGCTGCATTCAATTTGTATAAAGCAGCCATATTCTAATCATATCACTTCGTCACTATGGTAACCATGCATAAGCAATTCCTGAGGCCATATCATATCCCTCGCTAGGTCTAAATGGGGGGGGTGCGTAGGCTCCAGACATTACGGGAAAACCAACCAAGCTCATCATATGAACTAGTACACACGGCTTTTCAATATTTTGGGAACCGTTGCTATTTTTCGGAGGCAATTCGGGGCTTGCCATGCTGACAATTAATGCCACAATTTCCGCCATTTTGGCAGTCATTATTTTAAACGCCAGTATAAGTCTACTTTCATCACGGTTACCCGTCGTGGGGGGATCCACTTTGGGATGAATCAGCACCATCCAACCCAGCCGATTCAAACCCGTAATTCTAAATGGAAGATCATGGTCTTGTAATGATTGTCAGCATCCGTGGCAATTATATGATATCTAAGAATGAACATCCAAACGCCAAGTTTTGTCTTCCCAAAAGTGAAAGCCCTGCTCACACAGGGCAGCTTTGATAGGGACCCTATACTGTTGCGCATGCGCAATTACCAATGTTCATACTAATGTTGTTTGAGTCAAGAGATATTAGAGAAAAAGTAGAAACTCTACAGCTGTTGGTCCGTTCATGACTATTCTGTCACTGGTGGACCACAGACGCATTGGGTCGACCGCCTGGTTCCCGCTGTCATTATCTGGCCATAAAACGGCAATGGGGGACCGTTTTGAATGCCATGCTCTCTTCTTGTGAACTAGCAAGGTTGGACCTCTGCAGCCAAAAGAATGCTTGTATAACTCATGCATGCAGAGAATGTCTACCCAAATATTTCTACGTTTTTTCATGGAGGTCGATACATATGCAGCAAGGTATGAGATGGAGAGAACCCCCCCTGCTTTGTGTTGGTCATTGTCTCGCAGGAATGTGGGGAATTCCTTTCAGACATCTTGGGGGATGTGTTACGTAACAATAGTCTGGAATGTGTATGGGGATTGGACATGTTGGGGGAGTGCCCCTCGGTCTCATTTCTTGCTGGGTATAGGAGGTCGAGCCCGCCACATGCCACCGGTGAAACAGGTCCTACAGATATCCGTATGCACGGTTTAAAAAATTGCCCCGGGAAGGAACGATTATTTCTGTAAAGCGGAAATAGGCCTAAGTTAAATGCCACACGAAGCGAAAGCAAATTTCCCACCAAAATGACTTTTGAATTTACCCAGACTTCGTCGGCAGACGACAATATATCGATCGATACTGAGGCAGGTCAGAAGTCCAATCACCGCCAAACCGAAGAACATGCTGGCAAAGCCGTAGAATTTGCATCCAGCCAAATCGAAGACCCACCTGCCAGACAGCACGGAGGCAGCGGAGAAGGGGATGCAAACACACATACCTGGGTAAGGAGGGCAGATAATTAACAGCTTGAGAGACGATTCCAAAATATTAGGTAACATTAATTAGATACACACGGATGAAGTGCCGCGTGCGTACGTTCCTCCTTTAATCACATCGTATATTTCTTATATTAATTTACTTTCTTACTCTGTCAAAACAAACAAAATTTACCATCCACTTCACTTCAAAACACCTTTAAACCTACTAGAAATGACGAGCTTCACAGCAAAATGGAAAAAATATTCCCTTAAAGAATGACGTCGAATAATTATCTGTCTCGTGATTTTCCGAAGCCGTCTACGCAGAGGTACCTTGCTATCAAATCTCCCTATCCCTATCTAATAATGCAATCTCATACAACCCTGGTAACTCTATCTGTCGTTCCCATCAATCGCTTCTTCACCCCTGCATCATTATTATCACGCTCTTGTCTCGTGCCACTCTCAAACCCAGTAACCTTGCAGTTGCTTGTGCCGGTCTGGCCAAGACACTCAGGGCAGTTGAGTGAGTTCGAACGAAAAAATGGAAATTTTATCTTTTGTCAGATATTATTTGACGACGGACATCGCAGAGTCCCCAAACTAATAACAGTTAGGGCCTACTGACTTGACAACGCGCAAAGACAGTGGACTCCCATCACTGGAAACAGTCGTTTATACCAGCCTCTGATGCCATGCATTCCCTCAATATTTGGCCCATCTATCGCAAACAAAATTGACTTGCAAATCCGAGGCAAGGGTTATTTGTACCGCAGACGGTCTGGGAAAAACATCTGCCTTCATGCAAGCTAAGATCTCCAATTTTTTCCCCAAGGAAAGTTTCTGCAGGCGAAACTTAATGTTGTACGTTCGGACACCGATGAAACATAATGTGGGACCATTTTTGTTCTTGTTTGAACGACACAGAAATTAGGTCGTTAGTCCGTCCTGTTTGGCGCTTTCTTCGAGTATAAAATGTTCGGGCCTTTTTACCATTTTTGTCGAAATAAGTTTGGAATAATATATAAAACAAATGTTTTTAAAAAATCAATAAACACGGTTTGGAGGGAAGAGTTAACACCTCTGGTGTTCATCAAAGCCGTCTTTATAATCTCTTTGGAGTCTTGACACATAACCAACCTAATTAAATTTGTCGAAAGATGGTAATAAAATTGACCGCGAAGCGCCCGTTTAAAATGACAAGCTCACGGCGAAATAAAAACACGATGATCCGCAGAATTTCAATCATTCGAGATTGTGTGTTTCAAGAAAAGAAGAACTGAATAACACGACAAGAAGTGACGTCCGAACATGGAGTCCTCATTATCTCTTAATCGAAAGAGACAAAACTCATCCCTACATCTTTTATTTTTGTACGCACTTATTTGGTTGCGTAAGCTTCTTGTTGCCGAGGCTTGCACGCATGCGTCCAATCCGTTCAGTCGTACGGGTTCGAATTACTTACGCATTGCTTAAATCAGCTTCTGGAGAAGACCGTCTTGGAACGGTTTCAGTTTTTCAATCTCAAGAATGACTTGAAACATTTCAAATTACATCTACATGAAACAAGCCACTTTTTTTCAAAGCAGATATCATGGAGTTCCAAACTGTGGACAAAGGCGAGCTAGAAGTGGTAACCAAACATGCCGGTCAGACTTGTAGCAATTGTCAAAGAGGGAAATTGGGAACTGCGCAAGATTTAAAAGTGTTGGGTTTTAGAATGTCCTTTATACTTTCCGATCGAAGAAGACCGAAATTATAAATGTAATCCCAATTAAAAATGGTCCAACATCCCCCTTTTGCATCCAATACGAATCGATAGGAATCTTGATGGAGTTTGAAAATCTTAACAGAAGTGAGAAATACTGTAAACACAAACAGATGTTAAGATTCTCTGTAACAGTTGTTATACTTTTTGCAAACGTAGTATAGTGTGTCTGTCATTCGTGCCAAACGGTCCTTCAGCGACTTTCACCCGGCCGGAGTGAACTAGATTTCATCGAATGAACATAGTCTCTTCACAAATGTATAGGGCCTGAGGTCAAAAGTCACAGCCCGTGACATCGACAGGGTAAAATGCATGAACTGGTACTTACCCAAGTTGGCTCCTACAAGAAAGATGAGGATAGTGTTGCTGGAAGTTCTTAGCGGTTTGAATTTCCAGAACATGCGCAGAATGACAGAATTTCCAAAAATCCCAGCTAAAACTGAAAGTGAAAGTCGCAACAATAGCTTCATCTCTGTGAAATGAAATGGTCTATATTTTCATGTCCCTATGAACTTAAGTTGTTAATTAAAGACGATCAGTTGCACGTGAAACGAAAACAGAAAAATGGGACTCCCAAACGATGCACTTGCTGCTCATCCCGTATCAAGCAGCAAGACATCTAGGGGAAAAAATGATAATCTTGAAGATACTTACACTGAATGACCATAAGAATGCCCAGTAAAATTTGTACACCAGAGGTAGAGCTCGTCCCGCCGTCGCCGGCCGAGGCGGACCCGCCGTGCATCATACTCCCGGACCAAAGCGTGGAGTGGTCCATCATCTGCGAAAAAATAGTGTTGTGAACTTCAGCCCCGTCTTATTCGTTTAGAAGTCTGTTGAAGTACATATAAATATTCGCAAAACTCGACCCTTTGATACGTAGAAGCTTAATTATAATCAGGATCCAGGGCTCTTAGCGGATGTAATTATGCTACATGTTAATTCGTAACGTTGTTGCTCGATTAAGTTGAAATCGCCTATAAGCAATGTGGCACACTAAAAGCGATGAATGTCTCGTGCATCTTCTGATCCCACACATCTATTTGCATGTAGATATACAACAAAAACACCCAAATAAACAAAACAAAACAAACAAACTGGTTTCAATCTGCCGCTGTATTTTATTTAGATGTCATATTAGAGTGGAGGACTGGCACCAGGTCCTGTTCTACGCTTCCATCACCGCCAAGAAAGACACGATTATACGAAAATGCCCCAAAGGCTAGAGGCAAATCAGTCTTATAACTCACCGAATGCATCAGCAGAGAAAGATTTGTGCCATTAAATCCAGTGAGTGAGACTGTCAGCCGATCTTTACTCCGTGCGTCCAATGTGGGATGTGCGCTGCCTCCTCAGTCTGTCGCGAAGGAATACGGTGATTCCTCCACTGCGTCAGTGACGTCTCGCTTTCGTTGTTTGGTGTCTGGAATTAAGCTCGGCTCCATTTGCTGCATGTATGCGCGTAAGATCGCGAAAGGCATGGTGGGAACCAACATGGCGTGGAAAGATGGTACCCTCGGGAACAAGGTTGACCTGTAACTGGCTTATTAAAGCTGAACTGAGAGTTGACCGTCCACTCAATTCCTTTGCTTGTCGCCCAGCGCTGAGATGAACAGCTATGGACACGCGAAGCATTGTGGGTTAGGGACCTATTTGGTGTCGTAATCTACGCATGTATTTGCAGTGCGCACGTTTCACGCGCACATGTAAAGGTTGGCCCTTGATACTG